CTGAACCAAATCCCTGGCCTGATTAACTCCATTTCAGGAAGTCACTTTTAACTGGGTATGTTGACACAAGCCCGTAAGCCTAGCACTCGGGAGACTGAGGCAGGAGCTCACCATGGGCAACATAGTGAGTTCAAGGTCAGCCTGGGCTACATAGCAAGACTCTTGTCTCAAAAATCCAAAAATCAAAACCCCCAAACCACCCCCCCAAAGCCACTTTCAGAAGATGTTTCTTTTCTATGATTTTATTTTTTCTTGAAAACCATTTTTTTTCCTCTCTCTTTTTCTTTATTTTGGTACCAGGGACTGGACTCAGGACCTTGGGCTAGCCAGGCAGACATGGTATCACTGAGCCACATACCTGGCCCAAACTTTTATGTTTTTTGTTTTGTTTTGTGAGACAGGGTCTCACTATGTAGCTTAGACTGGTCTCAAATTCATGGTGATCCTCCTGCTTCAGCCTCCCAAGTGCTGGGATGACAGGCATATGCCACCATGCCTGGTCCCAATTTATTTTATTTAGTAAGCATCTACTAAGAGACAAGTATAATCCAAAGCATGTACAGACTGCTATCAGGCCTGGCTAAGTAGGGACCCTGAATCTTCCACTTAAAGGTGGTTCTGAGGGTCAAAGACAATATGTAGTGTTTCTTTGTGTTTCCTCTGTTTCTTCATTAGTAATATCTGCAGTGCCCATGATAACATTCTATGTGACATCACAGACAAATGGGTGTTTCCTAGCTGTGATTTTTCTCTCTTATGTCAGCAACCTCTTCACATCTACTATATCCATTGGCAGCCAAAGTTTTCTTTTGAATCGTTGAGAAGTTGAGAACAGCCTTTTCATATTATACACACAGGCCTACTACACGTGGCTGGAAACCATCCTAGAGGCGGTGGTGGTGATGGTGGGCCTTTCCAACCGGCCGACTGGAAGGTCCAGTTACCTCTCTTTGGGAGGAGGGAGACCAGCTGCCCATGAACCCTAACCCTTCTGGGGTCCTCCCCTTCCTGAGGGGTGTGGCCTCTGCTCACCCTTGTGGGGACACAGCAGTGGTCCCAGGACCAGATCTCCGCAGTTCCATGGCCTAATGGGTCCTTGCCTGCCCTTGGGGCCAGGAGGCCACGGCTCTTTTCCCATGCCATGCTGCTGCCACACAAAGGTGCCGTTTCCTGGGGCTGGCAGGGTTCACAGGTGCTGCAGGACCAGGTGTGGCCGTGAGCAGTCACAGTGCCTTGGGGCACTGGCTGCACTCCTTCACTGCCAGGATAGCTGACACTGAAGGATGATCTGATAAATAGGATTGGAGCATTAAAAACATCTCTTACCCCAAGAAGAAATTTTGAAGGAGAGCTGGGGTCACAGTGGACATCCCAGCCAGGGAAAGGTGCTGCCAGTGGAGAGAGTGGGGTGGATCCTGGGAAGCCTGAAGAAATTGCTGAAATGTTTGCAAGTTCTGGGGGAAAGGCATGATTTATGGAAAATCCACACCCATTCTCCAGTGTGAGGAAGATAGGAGGAGAATGTATGTAATCGTTCGTGTCTTTTGGGGAAGCTGGCTAAGAGGTAATCTGTGCTTTTAGCAAAAATGAAGAAGGAGCTAATAGAGTGAGTGGCTGGTGCACCATTAAAATGCACTTTGATGATAATGGATTAGTATGAGATTTATCTAGAAAGGGTTAAAAAATTGAGTACAATTGCTGTCAAAAAATCCTGAGCTGGTGTGGTGGTACATGCATGTAATCCCAGCACTTGGGAGGCCGAGGAAAGAGGATCGCTGTGACTTCGAGGCTGGACTGGGCTACATAGTGAGTTCAAGGCCAGCCTGAATTACATAGCGAGACCCTGTCTCAAAAAAAAAAAAAATCTCCTATTTCCATCTATTTATGTGTATTAGTAATTTAAAACTAGAAATAGAATTGATACCAAATCCAGCCTTATTCTGGCAATAAATTATATTAATCTATAGAAACACAAGCTAATTTTAGTAAAAAAATTTCTATTAAGGTGCATTTGCACTAGAATTTTATTTTTTGTTTTGTTTTGTTTTGTTTTTTTGAGATAGGGTCTCACTATGTAGTTGAGACTGACCTGGAACTCACTGTGTATCCCAGGCCAGTCTCAAACTTGCAGCAGTTCTCCTGCCTCAGCCTCCCCAGTGCTGGGATTACAGGTGTGCACCACCACACCCAGCACATAGAATTTTACTTTCTATATTTACTATTATGCATCAAAATATGTCTTTTTTCTTTTGGTACCAGGAATCCAACTCGGGTCCTTGTGCTTGCAAGGCAGGTGGCCGAACCACTAAGCTAAATCCCCGGCCCAAAATATGTCATTTTAACCCAATGTTTACTAATAAGTAGTTGGAATCATTCTTCCCAGAAGAAACTTTAATACTTAAAATCTTATAGTTGTAGGAAATAAAAAACACTATGCTTCATATAACAAGATGATTTGCTTGTTTCTTTATTGAAAAGGAAATAATTATTATGAAAAACTCCAAGAATCCAAAAGGATTTCACCTGAAAAGAACGCTTTACTCCTTCCCTGTCCTCAGCTCTACCCAGACAGCCCCTTGGAAGCCAATTTCCCCATCCTCCTGTCTGGATGATACTTGTGAACATTCAAACACAGTCGGTACCCAGAAAATATGTCGCCTTTTTCAATTGTCTTCATCCAGAAAAAGGGAGCTCTAGGGGCCAGGGATTTAGCTCAGTGGTTCCACCGCCTGCCTTGCAAGCACAAGGGCCCGAGTTTGATCCCGGGTACCTCTCTGAGGTGGCTGGACAGCCACAGAGGTGAAATCCTGCACTAAACTGGACACCTTCCTCCTGGGGTGCTACCATGGAGAAGCAGGAAGAAATGCCGGGGGACACAGAGAGGCCCTGCTGCTGAGGGACACACACATGTGCAGGCCTCCACACTCCCAGCCACCACTCACTGTAGCGGGATCTCCCAGCTCTGAGGACCTGTGCTTCCCTGCAGAAGAAATGCTGAAATCCTGGTGCCTGTGGATGTGACTTTTGAGGGTTTTGTTTTTGTTTTTTTGAGTACCGGGGATCAAACTCAGGACCTTGTGCTTTCAAGGTGGGTGGCGGCACCACTGAGCTAAATCCCCAGCCCCTGTGGATGTGACTTTATTTGGAAACAGGGCTCTGCAGATGGAACTGCTGCAGAGATCAATCGCTGAGTGGATTGCGTGGGCTCTAAATCCACAACCGGTGTCACAGACGGGGGATGGGGAGCATGTCCTCGACAGCAGAGGCGGGGCTGGGGGTGACGCATCTGCGAGACAAGGGGTGTCCAGGATGTCCCGCAGCCCCCGGAGCCAGGCGGGGCTTAGACAGATTCTGCCTCTGTCAGAGCCCCGGGGGTAACCGTGCCTGCCAACACCTTGACTTCAGGCTTCCGGCATCCAGGATGGAGAGAGCCCCTTTCTGTCTGAGACCTACGGGCTGTGCTGATTCACTGTGGCAGCTGCAGGAAGCATGCACAGGGATCTGCAGCTATTCAGCGCCGCATCCTTGGCCCAGGCGAGGGTCTTCTTCTTGCAGCATGAGCCGTGGGTGCCCTGCCCTCCCATCTGGCTGCCGCTGGCTACTCTGAGGTTGCTGGCAGCCTTTGGCATTTCTTAGACCGCACCTGCGCCACTCCAGTCTCTGCCTCCCCCTTTCCATAGACATTTCCTCTGCATTTCTGTCCTTCTACATAAAGATACTGGCTACTGGGTTCAGGGCCCGCCTTAACCCAGCCCGACTTTATTTAAACCTAATTACATTGCAAAGACCTGTTTCCCAGTAAGGTCATCTTCACATGTCCTGGGGGTTAGGACTGGAATGTATCTTTTTGAGTGACATGATTCAACCCAACAAATGTGATATTTGTTCTTTCATTTGCCTTGTAGAGGGGGCAAGACCAGGTATTGAGTGCCTTTTAAAAAATGAGAGCTGGGAAGAAATTTGAAAACATGGTTTAAAGGGCTGTAGATCCTGGGAAGTTGTTTGGGACTGAGGCCCGCTCTGATTCGTGTCCTTGGCCTCTCTGGCTGGTTCCGCCTGAGCTGATCACTACATTGGCCTGGTCACCTATCGGCTCCCCTTAGCCAGGAACCCATGGTTGGCTCACTTGGCTGTGGGGCGGAGAGGTGGGGTTGTCTGATACCCTGGGAGAACTCACCTTTGTTGGCTGGCTAGGACCAGAGGGCTCTGGGATACAGGGGATCACACCAACCCCAGTCAGCGGGAGCCCTTTGAGAGCAGTTCAGGTGTGCCCTGCAGTCCTCCGCTTTCTCACTGCCCTTCCCAGCTGCTAGGAGCTCTTTTGAGTCAGGACATGGGGGTGCTGGTGAATGTGAGGGCCCCAGGAGCAGTGGGGCTGGAGTAGCAGGCAATCTTCAGTGACTTCTGACAGAGGCAATGAGTAGGGCTCCATTTTGTCTGCCTCTGTGTCTCCCAGAAAATATCCTTCTCACACCTTACCTTCCAGAAATAGACACATGAGGCTCCCTTATTTCCTTCGCTGCCTTGTGCCCACTACTTCGTTTCTCCTCTGTGCCGATGTCTGCCATTCACGCTGCCTTGGAGCCAGCTGATTACAGACTGAAACCTCGACGAACTGTGAGCCAAACGAACCCCTCCTCTCTAAATTTGGGTGTTGGGTATTTTGTCTCAGCAATGAGAGAAAAGTAGTTAACACGGAAATGTGGCACTGAGAGTGGGGTGAAGGATTTGTGCCAGACTGAGGTATCTATCTGTACTGGAGCCAGAAAGTGATGCTCATGGTGAAGATCAGAAGGCCAGTAAAGACCAGGCTTGGGAGGTCTCTGTTGGGTAGAAGGACCGCATTGGCCGTTGGACTCCAGGCGATGTGTGTCTGCATTTTGTTCGTGTCCAGAGACTTTGCCTGAGACTGAGATTGGGGGCGGTGGATGAATTAATCTGGCAGAAGAAATTTCAAGGCAGACAAATACTGAGACTGTGGCATGGCTACTGTTGGGGGCTTTAGTCAGATCTATGTTGGGAATCAAGAGCAAAGAGCCCAGCAGAGTGATTTAAAACACTGAGAGTTTGGTCAGAGAGGAAGCTCCAATAGAGCTGTGGTCTGCCAAGATAATGCAGAGGAGCTCTTGCTTGCTGAGAAGGAACAGGGGAATAGAAAAGATGGCCTATGGGCATCACAGGAAGCAGCAGGATTCCATTATTTCCATCCTCAGGGTTGTAAAAGTCAAAGAGCTTGATTTGAGAAGAAAGCCCCAGAGCGCCAGGTTCCAGGATGGTGGTGGCCCCACCATTGCTCCAGAATGGCAGCAGCCTAGAGGTCTTGTTCCTCAGAATTGGATTCAGAGTGCTGAGCAATCCAGGCACTCAGCCCCGACAGCTAAGAGAGAGGGGAGACTGGCTGCTACTGCTCCAGCTGGTAGCAGACCTTGGCTTCATCTACATGGTGCTGGTTTTAGACGCATGCTGAATGGAAGAGGTGTGGGATCAGGAAGGCTTCCACCCAGATTTCAGAAGGAGGCCTAGGAGGCCAGGCAGTGCACCCCTGAGAGCAGTGTGTGAACTGTGATTGTGAAACCAGAGGTATAGTGAAGACCCCAGAAGTTTGGAGAAGCCAGGAGCATGGATCACCTGAGGAAGGCTGCAAAGAGGGAGCAGAACTGGCCCAAGAGAGAAGCCATGGGAGCTGCAACCACCAGAGGTATCACAGGGGCAGAGCCACCCAAGCCCTTTGGGGTTCATCATTTGTCTCAAATTGGTGGGGATATTGGAAGTGAACTCTGGGATTTAATGTTTGCCCTGCTGGGTTTTGGACTTGCCTTGGTCCCCTTCCTTTGTATCCCCTATGTGTACCTTTTGGAATGGTGATGTCTATCTTGTGCCATTAAATGTTGGAAGTGTTTAACTTTCTTTTCATTTGTCCAGGGGCCTGCAGCTAAGAGTTAACCTTATATCTCAGAGGAGACTTTGCGCTTGGACTTTTCAGCATTGCTAAAACTATTAGGACTTTTGGTAAGTCTTAGAGATGGACTAATGGCTTTTTTCCATAAAGGACCAGGGGTAGAATGTTATGATTTGTGGTTTGATGACCCCCTAAAGCCTCATGTAGATGAGGTGGGACTGTCTTTTTCCGAGGTATTTGAATTTGGAATGTGTGATGCTGGGATTAAGGGTGTGTAATTACTAAATGCCTACATGTGAGTGGTAGGTTTGGGACCGCCCTACTTCAGTAGTCTGTATGTGATGAAAGAGGCGGAAAGACGCAGTGAAGGGCTCCCTTGTTTCCTTCGCTGCCTTGTGCACTCCATTTTGTTTCTCCTCTGTGCCGATGTCTGCCATCCACGCTGCCTTGAAGCCAGCTGATCATGGACTGAAACCCTTTATGAACTGTGAGACAAATAAGCTCCTTCCCCTCTGGGGGCGGAGAAAGAAGGAAAAAAGAAAAAGAAAAAGGGCTGGGGATTTGGCTCAGTGGTTCCACTGCCTGCCTCACAAGTGCAAGGTTCTGAGTGCAATCCCGGTACACGCCCCCACCCCCCAAAAAACAAAAGAAATAGCAAATGAAAGGGAATAGTGCCGCTCAACAACTAGGCCACATGCGCACGCGGCACACACACACTGAGAGGTCTGACTGGAGACTTTATTCAGGGAGCAGGAGCAGAGAGAGGGAGAAAGGGAACAAGAGAGAGAGCAGAGAGAGAGAGGAGAACAAAGAAAGGAAGGCCTTTTCATCATTTTGGGGGCTGGGCTATTGCTTATTTACCAGGAGTGGGCTATCTTTAACCCACCACAGGCCAGGCTGCCCTTTATGAGTTTGGTCCTGGAGAAACAGGTTTAACCTCTCCATACCGCTGTGGCCTTGGGCGGGAGGAACTACAGATAAGAGCATGAGGTCTTTAAGAGCCAAGAAGCACCAGGAAAATGCAGCTGTGATGGCAGCGTCAGGTCCCTAACAGCAAATGTAGTAGTTCTCGCTTACTTCATTATGAGTGTGGAGATAACATATATACCAATCTGGTCATGGGAGGGCAGGTTATATTTTTGCTTTTAACTACTGAGCAGGATGATCTGGGTTTAGTTTGGCTCCCACCGTGTTTTCAAAAGCAATTTGAATGGATTACAAACTGAAATCAGGAGCTCACTTTAAAACTCCTTGTTTCCATGCATGTTTAAGAGCTGTAGAAGGAGATCCTCAAAGCCACAGGGTCTGGGGTGAATTGCAGCTGCCATCTTCAGAAGGGACCCACCTGTTCCAGTTTTTGAAAGATACCATCAGTCTGCTCCCTCCACTGTGCCGTGTTCTGGTGTCAGAGCTGTGACCTCTGCTCCGGAGGCCAGGAGGGCAGCTACGGGACCTCTGGGTGGGAAGGAGTCTGAGTTTCTGGGCTTTGGGGAGCCATCTAGACCCTGTTAAGACCTCCAGGGCAAAGGGCCGAGGATATTTCATATTCAGTAGGAAACCTACAATTAAACAAGATTCCTTTGGATGTGAGATAACTCTTTGAAAGTGTAAGAGACAAAAGGAACAGAGATGTGTGTGAGCACCAAGCAGCACCTTCTTTACCAGAACCAAGCCAGCAAAGGGAGAAGAAGGGGACGCTAGATCCCCTGGACCTCCTCTGCTAGCCTCCTTGCCATAAGGGAGACACTGTCAGTTGTTTCTGGGTTGGCCTCTAACTCAACCTCATTTTCTTCATCTGGGAAATGAGGCTAATCATCCTTTCTGTCCCCAGGGACTCAAAATTCTGCAAAGTAACGCCGAATAAGAAAGCTCTGCCACGACTATGGAAACATTAAACTACATCTCAACACAAGGCACAGGATGGGCCTGAGTTGGCTGGGGTAGACTGAACTCACTGCAAAGCCTCGGGCCTGCGCGAGGTCCTGTAATGGGTAACGTGATGTGCCGACTTGGCTGGGCCGTGTGGCACCCAGCTGTTTGGCTGGACCCCAGTCTAGTTACTGCTGTGAGGTCATTGTTTTCAGATGTGCCTAACATGTAAATCAGCAGACTCTGAATAAACAAGATTATCGTTCGTGGTGTGTTTGGGTCTCCTTCCATCGGCTGAAGGCCTCCACAGAAAAGATCGGGACTCTGGAGAAAGAGTGAGTTCTGACTCTAGTTAGCTTTGACTTCAAGGCTGTAACAGCGATTCTTCCCTGGGCTAAGGCCTATTGTGCAGATTTTAGGCTTTGCCAGTCCCTTAATCTGAGCCAGTTCCTTAAAAATCTCTCTCTCGGTGATACTTGTAGGAGGTGTGATAAAAATATGAATGTTTAAATAAAAAATTATTATAGTAAAGACACACTGCCATTAATCCCCTCAATATATTCCCTCTTGCTTTCAATGTACTTATCCCATCACTCTTTTTTTGTTGTTTATTTATTTATTTATTTTTTTGAGACAGGATCTCCCTATGTAGTTGAGACTGACCCGGAGCTCACTGTGTAGCCCAGGCTGGCCTCAAACTATCCCATCAATCTTGCCACTTTCCGGAGCAGCCTTCCTTTAAGAGTGTTTTTAGTTGAGATGTTGGGGCTGTCCTGGTGTTCTGAATTGGTTAAAACTGTTTTTTGTTGTTGTTTTTTTTTAATCAATTACTGGGGAAGCGCTAGAAGTGTCTTCAGTGCCAGGTCCTTGGAATAATAAGATAGCTGCGGGCACATTAATGTTTTTACAAGCTTGCCTTTCTGTCGATCACCCCTGGCAGCGGCATTCACTGTATACTTTTTATTGTACCTTGTAAAGCGCAAAAGAAAACCTCCAGAAGTGCCTCAGGAAATGGCAAGAATGTGGGGGTTAGTGTGTCTAGAGTTGGGGGTGTGTTTTGAGTGTGATTCATGGCAGTGTGTCTTTTACTGCAATAAAGTATAAACACTCACGGTGTATTTGGTATAATATACCTGTGCCAGGTATATTACTGAGAAGTTATACATCCTGTTGGCCCTCCGGAGGTCTCTACTACTGAGCTAACAGGTTTACACACCACAGTGTATATCACTTAGTGTCCACATCATTCTCTCGGAGTTGCTATTGTTGGCCCTACTCTGTGTCTGCTTTTGGGAATTGCCAAAGGGGTAGAGAGAGAAGAGATGTTTCCCAGGTTGTAGGAGACGCTGATGTGTGAACGCAGGTGCATCTAGACAGAGAGCCAGCACACTGAGTCAGAAGCTGGGACAGGACCGAGGCGCGGGGGACACGTGGGCCTTCTTTAGCACCCGCGATGCTGCTGTCCTGGCCTCTCGGTCGTCCTGGCCTCCTCCACCCTCCCACCCCAGTCCCTCCCAGGAGCGTACCCAGAGACGGTGGGACAGCCACAGCTGATCTAGAGACGAGCGTGCACCAGGAGGGCAAAGCCCCTCTGGGTGGGTTTCATGCGCACCTCGGACCCAGGAACTTTGAGGAAGAGACGGCCAGGGAGGCTCCAGGCTCTAACGTGCCATCGGAGGGTGAGATGATGTTTCCTGCTTTTGGTTGCCCAATTCTTTTAGGTTTTGAGTGATGAGAACACAACATGGAAGTAAATAGAAAAGGGGGTTTACTGGCTTATGTAATGAAAAGGCCAAAAGTTAGCGTCCTGGTCCAGGTCCCTAAGCTAAGTCTCTGCGGCTGCCTCTCGTTCATCATCTCTTAGTTCCACTTTTCTCTGTGCTTGTCTCTTCATTTTCTAGCCCATCTACCCCAATGGTAGCAGGATGATGCACTTTTTCATTCATCAGCCAAGGAGCCCATGCAGAGAGAGAGAACGGGAGAGTCAGGGAGGGAGAGAATCCCAGCATTTCCACCAGTGTCCCGGGGCTGCCTTTCTGGGCTGTCTGGAATGCGTGCCTACCCATGACCCAACTCTGTGCTCAGCGCCGCGGAATGTGCAGGGACCCCACTGGGGTTCATCTGAGCTCCGGACAGCTTGGAGTATGGCAAAGTCTGCTCTGACTTTCTGACATAGGGGCCAGGGGTGTAGCTCAGTGGTTCTACCGCCTGCCTCACAAGAGCAAGGTCCCAAGTTCAATCTCCAATGGGAAAAAATAAACAAACAAAACTGTATAAAGGAGGCAGTTAGTGTTCTAAAGTTCTAATTTTCTTCAGTGAGCCTTTATTACTTACACTACAAACACAATACAGAAGACGGCAGATATGGTTTCTGATACTGCTTAGAGGCCTTTTTCCTGGTTACCTCCTTCACTGACCCTGGCCCTGACCCTGGTGTCTGTACCCTTGCTCTCTCTTGTGTTCTGCCTCCCAAGTTTCTGATTCTCTGTTGACCTATATTTATTCTACCGCTAAATCTCTTATGCATTTTACTTTTATTATAATAGTTCATTTCGAGGAGTTCTATTGGTTTTTTCCCCTAAAGCTGTTTTCTTTTAATTTGTACTTTTCAAGCTTCTCTGTTATTTCTTAAAGCCTGTTAAGTATGTATTATCTTTTCTTTGATATTTCCAATACCTGAATTTCTTTAGGATTGAGTCTTCAGTTTTTTTGTTTTTGTTTTTTTCCTGCTCCACTTTACTCCTGGTGCCTTTTATTCTCTGTATTCTTTCTTCCTTTCAATTTCCCTTTCCTTGGAAATTTGTGAGCATTTTTTTCTCAGAATGCAGAGATTTGAAGTTATCTTTTTCTGAACTGGGGCTACTACTCTCTCTGTCTAGGACCATGTTAAGTTATTAACTGAAACTTTACATTCATGTGACAAAATGGCTTATGGTTACAGATTGGAAAAGGAAATGATACCATCAGGTAAGGGGGTTCTTCTCTTAATCCAGAAAGAATCACTAGGCAGAGAGAGTCCAAAGAGGACTGAGCCAAAGGATTTTCTGTAGAATGAAAGCAGAAAGCAGTATTTATTATAAAGGAGAAGCAGGAAGTCCTTGGCACTGAGCCTGGGAGGGCACCCAAGGGATTGATGTGAGGCTCTGCGTAGGGGTTTAGTCTCCAAAATGACTACTTTTAACTTTCCTAAAGCTTTCCACACAAACAGAACAAGACCATCCTTCAGAGGGGTGTGGATAAGGGCTTGTGGTGCTGGTTCTCCATCACCCTGCTTTCTTATTTCTGGACAGGAAAATCCCACCAAGTTAATGAGGCCTGCTTTGGCGCGGAGCCCTGGCCTTGGCCGTGGTGACCTCCCTGAGCCATCCGGACCCCCTCTGTGGCTTGGTCCCTGGCTGACTGTCCTGGCCAGGATCTATCTTTGCAGGACCCCCCTGCCCCGCCTCCAGGACCGGTGTTGCTCTGAGAACCCCCTCACCTTCCCACAGGGCACAGGGGTTAGAACACGATATTCTAGGGCACATCGTGATTTAGATCATTTTGCGGGGGGAGCCTCAGGTTAGGTGAAGAAAACACTGAACCTTAGCAAACAGAACCTAAGCTCAGTGACCCTGCTCAGAGGGCTGCTGGTTCATTTTCCCCAGATCTTTTGCTGTCTCCCTATTTCAGAAATATTTCCCACTGCTACCCAGAACTAAGGAATGAGACTTTTCCTTCTCTGGACTTGAGGTATAGGCAGGATCCTATTAGTCCGTTGTATGTTAGGGGTGAAGTCCTTCCTTACTTTGTTTATTGTTTATTTTCCGTGCTGGGGAATCAAACTCATGGCCTTGGACATGCTAGGCACAAGTTCTACCATTGAGCTACATCCCAGACCTCTTTGGTTGCTTCAGCAGAACACACCGCATCAATTTCACAGCGTTTCCTAAACATGTAAGGTTAAAGCTGACTTTAGAGCTCAACTGACACGGCTTACGCTGTTAGTCCCTCCCTGAACAATCATTGCCTTTTTTTTTTTCTTCCAGATTTTGCTTTCAAGAAGGCGAATTTTGTATTTTATTCAGCATTTTAATTGTTTCCCTATGAGAGAACAGGGATATAAATGTGGAATGGGATTTTCCATTCTGCTGTTGGATTGAATTCAGTTTAATCATGGATTTATGATTTTTTTTTTTTTTTTGCGGTACTGGGATTTGAACTCAGGACCTTGTGCTTGCAAGTCAGGCAAGGTGCCACTTGAGCTAAATCCCCAGCCCCTGGACATAGGAATTTTAAAAGATGAGAGAGACAGACAGAGAGAGAGAGAGAGAGAGAGAGAGAGAGAATATGAGTCATAACTCTATTCATTGAAAGAGCCTAAAAACAATGATATCCAGTAACACGAAGGGACATCTGATACCCAGATAGTGATTTTGAAATTCCATTCCTTACTAAAACAATAGGACTCCTTGAAAAAATTGGCTACTTCTATATTTCGGTAGAAAAGTCAGTTGCAGCCTTCTTTGGTCCAAAAAGCAAATATTAATGGGGATGTAAGAGAGGGTCACAGGAGTCAGCTGGAAGGGGAGCCCATGGCTAAATTTGGGAGAGTTTGAGCATTGAAAAGTAATGGGGTCCGGGGATTTAGCTCATTGTTCCCCTGCCTGCCTCACAAATGCAAGATCCTGAGTTCTATCCTTGATACTCAAAACAAACAAACAAACAAACAAACAAAAAAATCCCAAAAACTAAAAAACAAGGTTCATGTGCTGAAAGGTTTACCCTAAATCCATGGTTTTGTCATTTGGAACTGTGACCTTTAAGAGTTAGGCTTGGACGCATGAGGATGGGCACCATGATAGCATGAGTGGCCTTGTGAGGGGAAGAGAGCGGCGCCGGGGTCCTGCCCAGTCTCCCACGCAGTGCTCTGGACCAAGTCATGATGCAGCCAGAAGGCCCGGTCACTGGCACCGCACTCCAGGACTTCTCGGCCTCCTGACAGATGAGCCACAGAAACTGCTGCTCTGTAGAAATTATCCAGTCTGTGCTTTTTTTGAGACAGAGTCTTGTTGTGAAATTCAGGCCAGTCTTGAATTCACTGTGTAGCCCAGGCTTGCCTCAAACTTGTGGTGATCCTCCTGCCTCAGCCTCCCTAGTGCTGGGATTACAGATATGTGCTATCAGGCCCAGTAGCCTGTGCTTTTAAAGCAACAGAAGATGGACTGAGACAGACAGGAGTAGATGGTGACACACTG